AAAAAAAAAAGATCTATTTAGCTGAGGAAAAACAGAATAGCCAAATCTTCAGAGCAAGATAAAAATATCACGACACTTTGGAATTTCTTTGAACATCACAGGTCACATCCTGAAGATGCTCATTTACCTGGTGACTGGAATCCTCAGTGCTCTGTTTTATGAAGTCTTCCAGCTCCTGTTTCTCTTTCAGGGTCTTCTCTAACTGGTCATTAGCTTGTCTGAGCATCACCTGTAGTTTCTTCACCTAATGTAAGTTTTAAAAATCAGTTAAAAGGAAGAACCATTATTATTTTCTGAGTTTGAAAATATTTCAAATGCCAGAATTAAAAAAAATTCAATCTTGCTTTTCTACTGAATATCACAGATCTGTACATTCATAAAGAAATTAGATGAATGGCCTCACGTGCCAACTGCGCTGCGCTTCACAGTTAACTAACCATTTTAACACAGGCTCTCCTCTGAAAATACCTGATTCTCCTCCTGGGTTCTCTAAGTTGGGGCACTGGCCTCCAATCCAAAAATCTACATTAACACAATAAATATAAGCCCTTATCTAAAAAGGGCTCCCAAGTCGTCAGGGTAAAATCTAAACCCCTTTATTCATGATCCCTTCCTCAATGACTACACCATGGCCTTTGTTTGCAGCTTCCTCTTCCACCTTCTTTAAAAACGTTTTATTGTGAATTAGGTGAAAGTTTATAGAACAAATCAGTTTTTCATTCAACAATCTATACACATTTTGTTTCACGTCATTAAAATTGCAATCCCATAAGTGGATAATATCACTTGTCACTTCCTCCCCTCTTCCTTATTTCCTAACCCTTTTTACCTCCTACACTTTGAGCACATGCTGTTTTGTTTTTTGGTTTTTTTAAATGCTGTCTTTTTATCTCAAATGGTTAATTATTCCAGGCAGTCATACATGCTGTTGTTCCCCCTAAACCAAACCAAACTCGCTACTATCAAGCCAATTCTGACTCCTGGCAGCCCTGTAAATGAGGCAGCACTGCCCCTGCAGGTTTCTGAGCCCACAACACTTTATGAGGGTAGAAAGCCTAATATTTTTCCCATTCCTCTCTAAAGACGTATTATGTGGCTGAAAACTGAGCAACAGGGTGAGTTCAGCTTCAGAGCTGAAGGATGACAAGAGCCAAAGTCTCGGTTATTCAACTAGTCTCTATCTGACCAGTAAGCCTGGTCTTTTTGATGATTTTTAATTTTTGTTCCATATCCCCCCTATCTTCTAAAGTGATCCCTTTCAGAGCAGTTGGTAGTAGTCAAGCACTATCGTGTCCTACTGGTCTTTGTGTCCCGGGATCCATCACCCTGCTGGACCAATAGTTGTATCTTAGACGGCTGCAGCGGTGGTACTTGCATAATCTCATGTCAACTTGAGGGTATTATGAGCAAAAAGGTGGAGTCTAGCCTGTCAATTAGGTCACAGCCTGAGAATGTCTCCTTGTGGGTATGGCCTTCTCATAAGGAGGGTCCTAGAAACACCCACTGCTGCCCCCCCCCCCCATTTGTTTGGCCTTCCTGATGTTGAGCCACTCAAGAGAGCCACCGCTATTGGATCCACAAGATTTTGCATGTACCACCCTGTGAGCTTCCTGCATTCTGCATCACTGTGTGTGGCTGCATGTGTCTGAAAGGGGACTCATATCGGACTTAGGAAATAATAACAGACTTATGGACTTGATCTGTACTGGACTGGGATATTTTCTTAATATACAATTACTCCTTGACATAAAGCTCTTTCTTATACATATGGAGTGTCCCTGGATTTGTTTCTCTGGTCAACCTGGCCTAATACAGCCACCTCCCATTGTTGTTCGGAGTGCACACAAGTGCGTGGCGCATGTGCACGCGCACGCGCACGCACATACACACACACACACACACACACACGCCTGGTGTACTACTCATACTTCCTAGAACTCAGCATGCTCTGCCGTAACTCTGATCTTCTAAACACCTCTATTCTGCTTTCGAGATTACTAATTAATTCTTAATCCAGTCTCTAAAGCAAACCTAGTGTTGCCTTCCCTGCCCCTAGAGTTAAGTTACATGTCTCTCCTCAGTGCTCCTCTAGATCTATGTGCAAATCTATACACTACATTGACTTAATGGATAGCTGCCAGCACTAGAAGCTCCTTATGAACAACACTGTGTCCTACTTGTATCTGATTCCCTAGAACCTACAAAATGCCACGCACGGAGGGAGCTTCAGTGAATGTCTACTGAAATGGCTCCAGCCTCTATTTCCATGCCACATTATCAGAGGCCAATTGTATTAGCCTCACAAATAGTTTGAGTGTACCTTGCTAGGGAAAAAAAAGCAACATTATGTGAAGGAAATCAATGCCAACAAGGCTTGAAAATAATAAACTGTCATCTTCTTCTGCACAGCTGTCTTTTGAAGACTAAGAATAATTAACTTCATAACAGCAATAGAATTATTTTAAAATGTTCAGAGAAAACGACATACACATTATTTTCCTCATATATTTTCATCAGCCTGCTCTCCTAAAAATCTGTCTTATTTTTATTTTTTTATTTTTACCCTAACCCTAACAAAATCTGTCTTATTTTTAAATGTTTTCAAGGAACTTATTATTAGACACTGTATCTGGACAGGAACTCATGATTTGTCAATGCCAGCACACCAATTCTTTCAAAGCTTAAATCCACAACCCTGTAAATAAACCTTAATCAACTCAACAAACTTATGATAAGTAGGTAATTAAGCAATAAAGATTTTATGAACTGATTAATGTGACATTCAATGAAGCTTTTATTCCATTAGAAACTGTAGGGTACCTCTTATCTCCCCAGTTCCCTATTATAAAGCATCTTCTATGTGCATGCACTCATGGAAATATCTATCCGTGTTAGGCTTGAGTAGGAGGGGCAGAAGTGGGAGGGGAGATGTGCCAGGTCTCAATTTTCCAAAAAGTATTCTCTGAAAATACTCAAGTAAGAGCCAAGTTGACCTGTATGTTGTTGGGCAGAAGCAGATATCCTAGTGAGTTCGGAAATGTAGTGGCATTGCAGGTCTCAGATTACTTAATGACTTAACAAGAAGGAGATGCTTCATAAAGCAAATGGGGAGCAGGGAGCAAGTTACACCTGTGCTTCTGTACCAAATGAAAACTACAACAGCTCACCAATTTAAAACGGTCAAAAGAAACTCACCTGGTCTCTTGTTTCCGACTCCTGAGTCTGAATTCCCTGTAACTGTTTCTCATAATTAGAACACATATCGCAGCGTCTCCCAAGTTTGTTCCCAGCATTGTGTACCTGAAAGGCACCCAAACCCTCGTCAGGCAGAATGAAACAATTCCACGAACTACACTTGATGTGCACACAGTAGAACAGGGACTGCACAATCTCCTCAAGGACTTACGGCAAGAAGCTACAATACAGGACCAGAGCTGAGGTCATAATCGCCAACCTAGATATGAGATGGGGCAGCAAAGGACCAAGCTTGACTCACCAAGAGGCTAGGAACCGTAAAGCATCTCACTTTTGAGAAAAGCACAAAGTAAGCAAAAGTGAGTACCCCGTGGCACGCACCATTTAAATCAGTGCTGCTCAGCCAAGGGAGAAACCACAGTGCCAATTCACCATGTCTCCAGCTCCAGTTTCTAAATAGGTATGAAACCCTTTTTTTTTTTTAAAGTATGAAACTTAAGAGTAACACTTTCTCATATACTCGAGTATAAGCCGAGTTTTTCAGCACATTTTTAATGCCGTTTTTGTGGTAAAATTAGGTGCCTTGGCTGATATTTGGGTCGGCTTATACACAGTATGTTTTACATGAGATCAAAAACCGTTTCTTTCAGGCTTCATAAACAATTCCACTTACTGATGACACAGCTTCTTCAAAGAACAGTAACCCTAAGTAAAGGACAGCACCGAAGTCAGAAGCTGGACTGTAACCCAGGGTGTGCTACCAAGTCAGAGGGGAAACCTGAGCAGCTCATGTGACCGTTCTGAACCCACTTCCTCATCTGTGAAATGGGAACAATCATGCCCTGACTACCACATTGTTACCAGGACGCTTCAAGAGGTGAGGAACGTCTAAGGGCTTTGTAAACTAAGTACAGTGTAAATACTTCTCAGTTTTCATTTACAAATGATAACTTGTGAATTTTTAACTACTAATGAGGAGAAAAATCAAGTTTTAAATTGTCTTTTCTCTCCCATATTTTGCACTCTTCTTAAATTCACTCTCAGCACCAACTGCTGACAAGCATTTTTGCTTTAGATTCAGAAGGAATAGGACAGAATGTGAGTCCTGGAATACCTCGCAATTACAGAAAAATGCAAAGCAACTAAATTCAGGCAATTCAAACGAGCTCCACAACTTAGATCTGCTTCGGCTTGAGAGGTATAAGCTTTAGGTCAGTTTCTCAACCTGTGGGTAGCGACCCCTTCACAGGAGTGGCCCGATTCATAACAGTAGCAAAATTATAGTTAAGAAGGAGCAACGAAAACAGTTTTATGGTTGGGGGTCACCACAACATGAGGCACTGTATGAAAGGGCCACAGCATGAGAACCACTGCTGTAGGTGGAGATGTTCTCACTTGAATCAGTTAGCTAGGTGGTACCCATCTGTCACAATCGCATGGACTGGCAAAAGCTGACTCTGATGAGGGTCAGATGACAGAAGTTAACATGGACTTGCTGGCAGTGTGCACACACACGGACTCCAGGGACTGGCTACTGAAAGCTCCCAGAGCAACGCAGTCTCCCTCAGAGTGAGCAAGAGGCAAAAAGTCAGAAGGATGACCAACCTCTTTCTGCAGGAGATTCCATTCTGTCTCACTGACCAAGCGGTAGCCACTGGGGGACATGTAAGCACTTTCCATACCCTGGGTGACACTGGAGAGGAGGGACGCTGTCTCTTCTTGTTCCGGTGTCATCGCCTTGATCGCTCTTTCCTGATCTTTGGTTAGCATAAACCCACTTGGCATTTGTAGAGACCCGAGGGAGGCCGTATCAAAGTTCTCAGACACAGAATCCGCTCCTACCAATGGTCCAAAATCCGATTCTTCTAAGTTCCCAGCCGATTTTGCTTTGTAGTTATAGCCTAAAGCTTTGGATTGCAATGAGCCTGAGGTTCCCAAGCTGTCTGTAGACTGTGCTCTCCTAAGTCCATCTTTAAACATGTCATTGTCGGGTTTACTGAACGGGTCTCCAGCTGGCAACAGTAAGTCTGCATCCAAGGAATGGACTGAACCATGAGTACTATCTAAATGCTCCTGAAATGTGAACAAATAACAGTTCCAAGTCAGACAATTCTCTGTATTTCCAAACAGAAAAACAATCATATGGTTCATGTAATTTGCCTCAGAGTAGCCATGATAATCATTGCACGCCACCTTTCTATACTCATTAAGTAAACATTTATTGAGTGTCTTACATGTTCTGGGCACCAAACCAGGCACTCAACATACAACTGTGAGCAAGACACGTTCTTGCTTGTTGAGATGCTTACAGCTTCATGGAAAAGAAAAACAAGTAAGGGGTGGGCTCTTACAATATAGCATGCAGTGAAATGATAGGCCAGTGCCAGGAGAGCACGGAGGGAAACCCAGGGCACGCTCAGTGAGTCAGGGGTCTTAGGGATTTCTCCTGAGCTTCAGGGTTGGGCAGGTGAAATATGAAGGTGCCTGCTCTACATCCCCAAGCAGATGTCTACCAGATAGAAGATTTGGGAGTAACCATCATACGATGGTTATTAACGTCACAGAATCAGAACATCTAGGGTGAATCTGTAGAATGAGAAGGCGGCCAAGGGTAGAACCACAAGAAGCACCGACACTGTGGAGGATGAATGGAGAAGCAGCGAGGGTAGCAAAGGGAACTGAAGAGTTTCAAGCAAAGTGTCATCAACATGTTCAATGTAATACTAAATAAAAGCCAGACCCAAAAAAGGTCATACATTGCATGAGTTCATCTGTATGAAATGTCCAGAATAGGTTAATCCAGAGATACAGGAAGCAGATTAGTCCTTGGTGAGGGCTGAATCAGTAGTCCTGGTGGCGCTGTCAGGTAAGCATTAGACTTTAACAGCAAGGTCAGAGGTTCAAACCCACAAGCCACTCTGTGGGGAAAAGATGAGGCTCTCTGCTCCCATAAAGCTATGAATCCTCCGGAACCCTACATACGGTCTCTATGAACTGGAATGGACTCGGTGGCAGTGGTTTTGAGAACTGGAGCTAAAGAGAAAGAAAAATGGGGAATGGCTTTTTAATGGGCATGAGATCTTTGAAGGGGATAAAAATGTTGTGGAAGGAAAAGGAAGTTTCACAAAATTGATGAGAAAATTCCATTATTTCTAAATCTCGTTTTTCCATGAACTTTTTGAAGCCTCTTAGTATTAGAGGTATTGGTTGCACAGCATTGTGAAAAAGAAAAAAAAAACAAAGTGCAGCATATTCCCAGAGTAAAAAAGCATCTTAATGCTATCCCATGATGCACAGTGAATTGGAAAGTCAGAAAAACAGGGACAATATAGCAGGTTTTTCTTGCAACTAAACTTATTAATATTCAAAGGACTATTCTGTAAGATTACAGTCCTTTTCTTTTAGTTATTAATTGCCCTTTCTCTAATAAGTCCGAGAAGCCTGGAACACAGACAATTGTTTTTAAAATAGCCTCACTGGGCCTAACACAGAGGCAGCAACTTTGACGCTAATTCCTCTATCATTTCTTTCTTCTGAAATAAGTTAACTTATCTGTGACGTTCAGACGGGTGGGGAACATAAATCGAACATGTACTGATATAGTTATGGCAAAGTCCCAAGTTTAAAAGAAATGAGACTACACCCAAATAAATGTCTTAATAAACACGGGAACCACCACCCATTCTATCGGAGTCAATCAGTTTACAAAGGGAGCACTGTCACATACAGTGCTGCCCAAGGAGGGAAGGGGCAGGGGGAAGCAAAGCTGTAAGGGACACTTTTTTAACTGCCATGTTGGTAATAGTACAAGGAACAGATACTTCCAGCATAGTGTAAATGTTTATGATAGATGATTCAGCAAAATGCTCTCATGCCTTTAGAATGTTTATGCCCTTGAACTGAACAATTCTTTTCGCAACAATGCATACTAAGGAAACTATTACATATACCCATCATGATTTTTGTACAAGGAAGAATTATATATACACCTACCTATTGACATAATCTAATTTTTGTTGCATCTGCAATTCTGTAATGACACCTTACAATAATAAAAACCATCTACTATCTGACTCTTGTGTGCATTAACAACCTACGAGGGGGTACCCCCCCAAAAGGGGAAAATGTTTTGCTGGACAGAGCTTTTGTAGTATGCATTTTTCCTGCTAGGCGAGCATAAAGCAACACGCTCTGATTTAGTGCACCCAGTGGTTTTGCCTGGGAAGGTTTTCTCTGGTCACAGTGAATTTTTTTGTGAAAGCAGTTTTGCTCACACCTTATTTTTTTGTGATGGCCGATTTAAGAGAACAGTGTGTGCAATTTTGTTTCCTGCTCAGGAAAAATGCTGCAAAAACTGCTGAACACAGCTTACATGGACTGCACTATGGGAAAAACTCAAGTGGTACAAGTGGTTTTCTCATTTCAAAAAAGGTGAAATGTCAATTGATGACAAACCTTGTTCTCAATGTCCATCAACTTCCCGAATGGATGAAAATGTTCACTCATAGTGCATGTGGAGTTCATTCCACCAAGTTAGATTGTTAAACTTTCTATTTAAAGGTTCTGAAAAGATTGCATAACAGTGTGCAACAAAAAAAGGCCTGATTAGTGGCAGATAAGGGGCTAATTGTGCCACCATGACAATGCACCTGCTCATGCAGCCAACTCAGTGAGCCAGTTTCAGCCAAAAACCAGCATGCCTCTCTTGGCCCACGCACCTTACTCACCTGACCTCACCAAGTGCAACTTCTTTTAGTTTCCGCAAATGAAGGACATGAAAGGGCAGCAATTGGACAACATAGAACAAGTGAAGAAAAAAACGAGGGAGGTGCTGTCAGTCACCCAAACAGATGAGTTTGGAAAATGTTTCCCAAGAATGAATGATAGCAGCACAGGCAATGTAATGGAGAGGAATTACTGAAACCCAAATGAAGGCTGAGCATGATAATGGGACAAGAGGAAGCGAAAAGAAAACACAAGAAAGAACTAGAAGGCAAAGGGCATTTGCAGAGGTCTAAATACAGGCATTTACATATGTAAATATATTTATATAGGATAGGGGGGAAATATATCTACGTGCATATATTTATAGGTTTAGTATTAAGGCAGCATTTTGGACGTCTACTGAAGTACTTCCTCAATGCAAGAACACCTTGTTCTATTAAATTGGCATTCCATGATGCACACCTTCCCGACATGATCGCTGAAGACAAATGTGTACATAAGCAAATGTGGTGAAGAGAACTGATGGTGCCCGGCTATCAAAAAGTGCAGCGTCTAGGGTCTTAAAGGCTTGAAGATAAACAAGAGGCCATCTAGCTCAGAAGCAACAAAGCCCACATGAAAGAAGCACACCAGCCTGTGTGATCACAAGGTGT